ACATTCTACTTCCTAAGTAGAAAACTGAGCAGGCAGTTATTAATTATATTTTTCTTTCTATTGGCTGTATATATGAGCTATATCGCACTATTTATTTTGGTTTCTTTTTAAAAGAGTACTTGTGAAACATGGCTAGGGAAGTCTAGCAACAGGGGAGATACTGGAGAACAGTTGTTAAGAATGCTGTCAAGCTTTATAATATAAAATGGTAAGCTTAAAATCTTAAGGTTTTCTTTTTAGAATTTTGAAGAGAAAATGGCTCTACAAATAAGGAATAAAATTAATACCACAGTATTATTGGGGAGAAAAAAGTTCCCATTACTTATGGTCCCAATATTTTGAATATATGTATTTAGTTACATAAGTACATAGAAAAGAAATATATTTAAATGCTAACATCCTAGAGAGCAGAATTGTGAGCTAATTTTTATCTTTATTCCTATATTTATCAAATTCCCATAATGATATGTTGCATTTGTAGTAAGAATAGAGAAATATAACAGTAATCAAGTTGGGACTTTTATGATCTTTAGACCTAGAAGCAATATTTCTAAAATATTCTATTATACAAAGGGTGTAAAGAGAAGACAGACTTCATCAATATAGAAATAAATATGTAAAATCCATTCATTGCTCATACATTCTCAGATTCTATATTCTGTACATTACATTGGTGGTTAAGTCAGGTTAGAAGTTTAACACATATAATTATGGGATCATAAATAGTCATGTAGATTGCATATGGAACTACAAATTCTATCTTCATAAATGCGTTTAGTACTATAAAATACACATTTTAACCAGGTGCCACTGGCTTGTGCCTATAATCCTAGCTACTTGGGTGGTTGAGATAGGGAGGATCTAGGTTCTAGGCCGGTCCAGGCGAATAGCTCAAGAGACCCCCATCTCCAACATAATCAGAGCACAATGGGTTGGGCATGGCTCAAACAGTAGAATGCCTTCTTTGCAAGTACAAACCCTAAGTTCAAACCTCAGTTCCACCGATAAATAATACATAAAATATACATTTAAGAACCTTGTCATGAAAAATCATTATAAAATGTTATATACAATACTCAAATTAAGGTCTGTATCTTCACTGAAAATCTGAATCATCTTAACTAAAAATATTATTTGCTACTCTATTATTTTTATAGCAGTAATTTATAAATACTTTTTAATAGAATCAAGCAAATTTTAAAATTTATGAGTATATTAAGAAAAGAAGATAAAGTCATAATGAAGGCTAAATTTTAATATAAGCTGGCTTCTTTAAGGGACCCCCAAAATAAAGTTATAAAAATGGTACCTGTTATCCCAAGCTATACAAGAGACTGAGCTCAAAAGGTTCCAGAACAGCCCTAGCAAAATAGTTTTTAAGACCCCATCTCAATGGAGAAAAGCTAAGCATGGTGGAGTGGACCTGACATCCCAGAAAGGACTGGAAGCATAAAATGGGAGGATCACTGTTCAGGGTGGCCTGGGCAAAAAGAGAGAACTTATCTCAAAAATAACCAGACCAAAAAGGGCTGAAGGCATGGCTTGATCAGTAGTGCACCTGCCTTACAAGGGCAAAGCCTTGAATGCAAACCCCAGTAGAGGAAAAAAGAAAAGAACAGAAAAGAAAAAAGTCCTTGTACATTTATTTAATGTACATGGTCTTTTCTTCCTAACTGTCCCTGTCATTTTGAAAGCTTATTAAGGGGACCTCTACTATAAAAAAGATTCATGTTTTCAAGATCTTATATAAAATAGCATTGCACATAAACTTAAGAAGGGTTAGCAATCAATTTTTATTACAAAGATGTTCAGATATTTAAGTATCATTTGATGAATAGATGATCTTTACATCATTGACCTATGATAGAGGCATTATTGAAAATCAATTGACCATATATGTGTGACTCTATTTTCAGATTCTTTATTCTGCTTCATTGATTTATATGACCAACTTTCCACATTGTCTTGACTGCCAAACTTTTATGGCATATCACACAGTGTAAGTCTACAAAACTTGTTCTTTTACAGTACTACCTTGATTCTTCTACATTCTCTGAATTTATAAATAGATATTGGATTAAGTTTGAAAACTTCTGCTAGTAAAGACCTGCAGTGATTTTCATTAAGATAATATTAACTCTTTAAGAAAAATGGGCATTTTACTATGTCTAGTCTTCCAATGAGTGAGCCTTATTTAGGTTTTTAATTTCTCTCAGCACCACTGTGCAATTTTTATTTTAAAGTTATGCACAAATTTTGTTAATGTTATTTATAAGTATTTTATGACTTTAGAAGTTAAGGAAATTTTTTCCCAATTGTTCATTTCCAGTATAAAGAAGTACAATTGGTTTCTGTAAATTAAATTTATATATTCGTGGCCTTGCAGTTATAAATTCTAGCGGTTTTTGCAAGACTCCTTAGAATTTTCTTTGTACCAAGTCATACCATCTATGAAGATAAACAGTTTTTCTTCTCTGTTCCAAGTATTTAGATCTCCCCTTCTTTTTTATCATTTTTAGTGCAATACTGAATACACACGGGAAGAATAAACTTCATTGCAATGCTTTCAGCATTCAATTTTCACCTCTAAGTGTTCAGTTAGCTGTAGACATTTTGCAGTCACCCTTGCAGAGACAGTACAATTTCTACTTCAATAAGAAGTTTTGGATGATAGGTTTCTTCTTCCCTCTTTCTTTCAGTATATTAGAAGTATTGCTTCATTGTCTTTTGGACTTAACAGTTTTTCTGATGGAAAGTCAGTCATCAATTTTAACATGTATCCCATGTATAGCACATTTTATTTCACAGAATGATTCAATTTTTTGTTTTGGCAGTATTGGAGTTTGAACTCAGGACCTTTATGCTTGTTAGGAAGGTGCTATACCACTTGAACCCCCAGCTCTTTTTGCTTTTGTTATTTTTGGGATAGGGTCTCATTTTGATGCCTAAGCATACTGAAATCCTCCCATTTGTGTCTCCTGAATAGCTACGATGATAAGTGCATGCTACCACACCCAGCTTTATTGATTAAGATAGTCTCTCACAAAATTTTTGTAGGGCTGGCCTCCAACTGTGATCTTCCTGAGCAGCTATGATTACAGGCTTGAGCCACTATGCCCAGCCCCATTTTTTCTTTGTCATCGGTTTACAGCAATTTTTCTAGTATGTGTCTCTTGTTATTTTTCTTTAAATTTGATGACTTTTCTACCACTATGCCTTTAAATAATTTTCCTTCTGCATTCTCTTTCTTCTGAGATTCCAATTATGACCAAGCTAATATAATAAATCCAACATTTCGGTTATTTCAAGATCAGTTTCTATTGACTACTTTTCATTGTTTCACATTTTTATGCTTCTTTACTTGGCTCATTCTTATTATGTTCTAGATATTGTGGACAGTTTATCATAGACCCTCAGGATTCTGTTATCTTCCTCTGAGGAGTGCGTACTCTTGTTTCAGGTAGCAGCTCAGTTAGTCGCTCATCACCCTCAGTTTGGGCAAATGTGAGTTTATGCTTTCGACAGGAAGATCTATCAAAAGCCAAACAAAAAACTGGCAGAATTCAACTGCTGGCCAATTGAGCAACTCAACTGCTGGGTTTTGCTGTTACAAGTAGGCATTTCTCTGGGTCATGGTTCTTACTGATGAAGCACAGCTTTTCTGTTTTTCCAGTCAAATGCTAGGAGTGAAGAAGTCTCACAAGACTGCTATATATTGGTAGCCTGGATCTGATCAGTTCCTAGTACCTTCCAAAATTTGAACACCATAGAAGAGAAACACTCCATAGATTTGGGGCAGTTTCTATCTGTATGTACTCAGACCTGTTCTTGACTCTGTAGATCTACCACTGTACCTACGTAGAACCCACCTTGCTATACCTGTCAAGAAATTGTTCCCAGGCTCCAATAACTATGGCGCTTCCTTGATATATTTTTCCCACTTTAAAAACTGAAGTCTAGCACTCATTCTCTGATGACTAAAGCCAGTTGCCAAACAAATATCTCTTGTCTGTCAATGTTTACTGCAGAAATCTAGTATGACCTGCATAGCTTGAAGTGGAAGTCCAGTTGTGTTCTTGCATGAAAATTGTTTCTTCATGAATTATTTATAATTAGAATTGTTTTAACATGATTAATTAATAAGAATCTGCCATTAATTCAAAAGATTTGTCTCATAAAATCATGCTACGTTGCTATGGTTTCTACGCTGTGAAATGCTAACACTTTTTTTGTTTTGGCAGTCCCATGGTTTGAACTCAGGGTCTCATCTTGCTAGGCAGGTGCTCTACCAGTTGAGCCACTTCACCAGCATGAAATGCTAACACTTTTGATGACTAAAATTAAATTGCTAAATTTAAGGTGTACAAAAAGAATTCTCATTTATTTTTGCCAGCACTTGCTTTGTAGTAAGAGGAATACACGGATAATTACTAATATGGTGTACTTATATAGACTATATTGTTGCTTATTATGCCACCTTATTTTTACATGTGATTCTTACTGTTGAATTCCAAATAATTGTGATTAGTACATTTATACTGTGAATTAATAACATTCACAACATTCACAATGCCCACCTACGTAGGCACAAAGCATTGTAAATGCTCTACACTTAGGCAGAGACTTAACTGAATCTGTTTCCTCAGATGGAGCCAGAAAAATTGTAAATTGCAGAATTTGTCATTTTATATGGTGACAAATGAAAAACATAGTGTAGAAACTACCAAAAATTCACCATAGTTTTCACTTATCATCATCAATGGCTGTCTTTGACACACAAAAAAAAGGGTGATTTTTTTAAATTAAATGATCGAATGTGTTGTCAATCTAACAGTTGGCTGTTCAGAAACCAGTTATTATAATTTTCAGGAGATGACTAAAAAATTTTTTTCAACATGCAGCACAAAATCTGTAATAAAAGCATTTTATCAAGGATTAATGAAATCAACAGTACAGGCAATGAATTAGGAATTCAATTTAATTGGCTTTGGGAAATTTACCTTGTGATAAGTATAGCCGCATCCACCGAAGTCATGTCTTCTCCCCAGCTTGTCGACATCTCTAAATGTATCTCATTCTTTTTGCCAAATTCTTCATGTTGCCACTTACAAAAACTCTCTAGCATTTTCTCCCCATGATGGCCAATATACAGGTCTGCCTGCAACAGAAGACACTTTACTTCAAGGCAGATAATTTTTATATATGTCAAAAACTAAAACCTAAGGAAACTTCCTGAATTACTAAAGCAGACTGCTGACCACAACATTAATTAGAACCTGGAAAGCATTTAGGATTAATTTAGTCTAAGCTAAAAAAAATCTTAAAACATGGTAAAGGTGTAATAATTTCAAAATCTGTTTAAATCTACCATGAAAAAGGAAAGAGGTACAATGGAACACTGGAAGTATGGACCTTTTTACACTTGAACAACTCATTATGTCTACAATTTAAGAACAAAGGTTTTCTGAAATACTTGTTAAATAGCTTGCCAAAATGATGCCACAGACTATTCTCCACTTAAAATGAATTACAGATAAGAAAACTGTTTTGAAGCATATGTTTAAATAATAGAATAAGTCTGTCATTTAAAATAACTTAAAAATTACATTTTGGAAAGTTAAAGTTTGTTGTCAAGACCCTTGGAAACTGAAAACATACCATTTTTTGAATAAAACTGAGATATTAAATAAAATGAAATGGCAATTTTATGTATACTTTAAGTGAATCAGTGGATATTTCTGGATTTTACCTCAATAAAAGTATATCCCTAACATTCCCTTTACTTGAAAGTTCCTGAACACAATTTCTCACCCACTTAATTGAATAAAAACTCAAGATGTTCTTACTGGCGTTTCATGAAGCAGAATGAGCTTTATCACACGAAGATTGACCTGCACACCAAGACTTTTGTGTTGGAAAAGGTTAAAAACCTAAAAACAAACAAAAATAAAAATCCTGGAGTAAAACTAAAGAACATCTTATTTTTTTCTTAAAGGCCAGACATAAGGGAAATCTCAATTTAGCTGAAAAAATTTATTAAAAGCTGGAAAGCAACATGAGTTTTTAACATAACACCTTGATCTGAAAAAAAAAAAAAAACAGCACTTATTTACTTTTTATTAGAAAGTATATCACCACACATCACTACTATGTTTTCAGAGATATTACTATGTGGAAGATACTGAAATTAGTCTACCGGTCTACATAGCCAATGCTAGCTGGAGTGCTCAGAACTTAGCTGAAAATGGACAGAAGCATCTCAAGTGTGAAAAACTATGTCCACTGGGGAAACAACACGTGACAGTAAAAGTAGTAAAAACATAGGGATCTATTTAGCCCTGGATCACTGGTTATTACCTGGCCTTCTATGATAGCTGGAATTGTAAATATACTTTTGTGTCTGCTTTTTATTTTTGTTTATTTTCCTCTAAGAACCATTGTCCATTACAACCTTCTAATCCTTCCTTGAAGAAGGAATACCCAGTAGAGTCTGCACTGATAAGATGGTTTATATAAACTCCATTTCTGCAAATTATTAACCAAATAGCTGCCTGTGATTCAGCTTTTTAAATTTTTATCTAATAGCTATTACATCTTATCCACCAACTAAAATCATTTCTTATATTCGATATTACAAATATACACATGAGTCAAATGGATTATTAACATCCATTTTTATACCTCTTCATAACTGATCTTTTGTGCTTTTGATGGGACCATGCATACAAACATTGTAATGTTTCTGATAATATAAATAAAAGGCCTTCCAAAAGACAGAAAATAAAGGCATAAAACAGAGAGAGAAAAGAGTAACAGAGAAAGAGCTTTCTCACATTAAAATTAATGATAAAGAAGGTTCTTTTTTAACTAGAAGTTGTAAATTATTTTGCTATCACTGTAGAGATGGATCAATTTGGAATACCTAAAGCACCAAATCTGTATTTTTACTGATGTCAATAAAAGAAAGGAATAGTAATGAATTAATTTTTAAAGAACTGCAGTATAAATACTCACACATTTCTTCCTTAGAGTTTTCTTGAAAAAATTCCAAGCGCACTTTAAAGTTTGCCTACCATATTTAAGATGGTTAGAATGAATCTCCTGGCTGCATCTGCTCCATGATAGGAAACCATTGTTGGGTCTGCAACCACTACAGTCTCTATGTTGTATTCTTGAGGTAATTTGTATGAATACCGTTTCCCTCTTCCACTTTCTATTTTTTTAGACCTAGGCCTTCCTTTATCTGCAACAGAGAAATGAATTTTTCAATGCATCTCCATGTTGGTAAAGTTAACAGTATTAATCATTCATCATGATTAGTAAAAACAAATAAAGTTCCTGCACAGACAGAATCCTAAGATTCACTTGGCTTTGCAGTGTGAACTTGAAATCAGATACACTAGACTTCTGCCACTTATTGCCCCAGTTTCCTCATCTATAAAATGTATAAGAAGACCATCTACTTTCTAGATTTGTTGATGGCTTATAATTATGATAAGATCACAGTAGTAAAATCCTAACACAGAGTTCCATATAGAAAAAATATGCCAATAAATAAAAATACTGTGAATTCCTTTTAGACAATGACTGCAAAGTAATGATCTACATATAAAAAGTAACTGAAGAGACTTCCCCACACACTCTCTAATTCTAGGCAGGCACCTCCACACTGAGTTATATGTGTTACTACAAATGATTTGGCTCTGTCTTCCATGGGGAGCATATAAAAGTTATACCACACAGTGAGAAAGATTCCTCAAGTGGAGTCAAATGAAAGGAGCAACCACAAATAAAATATATTTATAAGTTTGACTGTAAAAATTAAGCCACTTCTGTCCTGCAAACCACGCTACAGTCAAAGTGAAAAGCATGCCTCCACATGAGAAAAGATATTTGGGATATATTTCTAGAATAAAGAAATAAAGAACTACTCTAAATAAATGGCCAATAACCTAATTTAAAAAACGAGTGAAGGACTTGAACAGCCAGACCTCATCAAAGGATGGTTAACTGATAGATAAGTGAGTTCTCAATCACATTTGTGTTCAGGGAAACACAAATTCAAACCAATAAAACATAAGTGAGTTAAAGTCCTCACAATGACTCAAATTAAAGAGTGGTTATATCAAGTGACCAACAAGAATGCAGGACAATGGAAATTCCCATATACATATATTCAGGGAGTTCAACCCACTGATAAAACCCAGTGGGCAATGTCTTTTAAAGTTGAACATATGCCTATGTAAATATCAAAGGCTTAAAATACAGATGAATCATAAATGTACACAAAATACATATACAAATTGTTCAGAGCAGCACTTCTTAATTGTCAGGTGACCATCAGTAATGTAATGGATAAATAAATGTTGGTCTATTTACATAATGAAATATAATGAAGCATTAGATGGCAATGAAAATGAACCAAATGTTACATTGTGCAAAATTATGGATGAATTTCAAAAACAATATTGAGCAAACAAAAGTTAGTTACAAAAATATGTTCCATTTGTGAACACATTAAAATTGGGAAGACTGCTAGACTTCAGGATAATGAGTATTTGCAAGTAGGAGAAGCTAGTGCCTAGCTTCCTATATTCTGACCTAGGTGGAACTCATGGCTATGCTCATTTTGAGATAATTCAGCAGGTGGACATATCATTTGTGCAACTTCCTGTATATTTATTCTGTTTCAATAATAAATTTATGATTTCAGCAGCTTTATCAAAGTATTGTTTACATGTTAATATATAGCCATTTAAGTGCACAATTTGCTCAGTTTTAATAAATTTCTGCAGCTGTGCAATCGTTTCTGGAAACCCATTGTTGAAATCAAGCATCATTTGTTCCTCTCATTGTCAGTTCCCAAGATTCTGTTGATGTCTCCAAACTCCCATCGTCTGCTATACCAGTATTTTATTCTTGTTGACAATCTTACATTTCTTTTTATTAATGTATATTAATTATACAAAAGGGTTTCATTGTGATATTTCCACACAAACATATAAGGCACTTTGATCAAATTCACCCCCTCTATCACTCTTTCTTATCCTTACTGCCTCTCTTTAAAAATAATTTTAATAATATTCATTATTCTATTTTCATATATGTGTATAAAACACTTCTGTTGCATTCACTCTCCCCTTCACACTTTCCTTCCGCCCTCTTCGCCCCACTGGTTCTAGCCACCAAACAATTTTCATTTTGCACTCATGTCATTTATTTTGTTTTTAGGTCTACATTCCACATTTGACAAAACATGTGTCTTTCCCAGTCTGGCTTATTTCACTTAACATAATGATTTCTGGTTCCATACATTTTCCTGCAAACATAATTTCATTCCTCTTCATGCATGAATAATAATTCATTGTGTATATGCACATTTTCTTTATTCATTCATCAGTTGATGGGCATCTAGGCTGATTCTATAGTTTAGCTATTGTGAATAGTGATGCCATAAAAATGGGTGGACAGGTATCTCCATTGCACACTGCCTTACATTCCTTCAGATATGTGCCCAGGAGTAGTATAGCGGGATGAAATAGTAGTTCTATTTTTAGTAGCTGCACTGATGCACTGTGATTTCAGTTAGGCCCTGGAAGTATGAAAAGAAACACTTGTGTTTAATTAACAAAGTTTCCCTCGATGTTTCTACCTTTGTTTTTAATTCAGAGATACGTATTCTCATAGTTCTGTTCATTCTTTTGCCTCTGCTCAATTTATTCTTTGAATCTTTTGTCAGGTGTCATGGTTAAAGTATGCCTATTCAATTCTGCTCCGTTGTGTTCTATTTTATTACATACCTATTCTACCGTTCTTTGCCCTCTAACTTTTCTTCATGGATAAGGGATTACTTTATTTCTTTATTCCTTACCTACCGTATTTCTGAATTCTAGAAACAACTGAGACATCTTTAAGATCTAACCTGAAGTAGATCCTGAAACCATTGCTGTGAACTTCTCTGGCCTTAGCTACCTACATAATTATGACACTTTTTTTTTTCCTAGCAATAACACAGACTAAAAATCTATGCAAATACTGTGTACACATGTATGTAAATGGAGAAATAATACCTGTTGAAACTATTCCAGGAACTGGGGGAGATAAAGGAGAATGGAGGAGGGGATGAATTCAACTATGATATATTAGAGATATTGTAAGAACTTTTGTAAATGCGCACCTTGCACCCCTACCCAGCACAACAATAAAAATAAATAAATAAAATAGGCCAAGTTGTATTCAAATATAATGTAATCAGTTAACTAAATTAACTTAAGTGTTATGAAAACAAAAGCAAATATTATTTAATCATGGAAAATAAGCACTATAACATGTAACAAGGTAATGCAGAATGAAAAAAGTAGTCATCTGAAACAAAATCACTAGAGTTAAAGGTAAATTTTATGGGTCCAGATTTAGTACCGAAAGCAAATATTCCATATTCATTGAAAACAAGCACTATAACAGGTAGCAAGACAATGCAGGATGACAAAAACAAGACTAGTCATCTAAAACACAATCAGTAGAGTTAAAAGTAAACTTTGTGGACCCAGATTTAGTACAAGAGTTAAACCAAAGATCCCAAGGACAGACAAGAACAGAACTGGTTTTGTTATTATTTCTGCTCTAGGAAAATTAAGAATTAAGTGTTGGTCTTTTACAACATAAACTTATGGTAACTATTTAGTAGGGAACATTCCTACAAGCATATGCAGGGTCAATACCTAATAAATAGATCATGAGAAATATATATATTCAAATATGAGAAGATACCTTTCTTAGGTGCTAATTGGCTTTGGAAGGAAATAAGAAACTTTGTGAACTATACATATTTACTAAATGAGAGAAGTGATAGTTTTTCACCAGTGTCAACTTCTACCAAGCAAATGACACTAAAATGGAAAAGTATACTAACTAAAAAATGCCACCTCCTTTTACATGGACACATATCCATATTCTCTCATATTTTCTCCTAGTTGGCACTTTTTGATACTAAGGTTTTACAGAGATTGTTGCAGTAGACTCTATTAATTCTGTTTCACTATCCATTTTTTCATTTCTTTCCTTTAGAAATAGAAAATCCTTCCCTAAATCCCTCCCTATTTTGTCTTTTTTTATTGATTTGTAGCTACCTAACCAAAACCACTTCTCAGTCTACTGTTTTTTTATTGACTTATTTTTCCTTTATTGTTGTGTTGGGGGGTACATTGTGGCATTTGCAAAGGTTCTTACAATGTATCAAATTTATCATACTTGTATTCACCTCCCCCCACCATTCTCATTTATTCTGCCTCTCCCAATTCCTGGAACAGTTTTAACAGGTATAATTTTTGCATTTATATACAAGTGTATACATTTTTGTACCATATTCATCCTCCTACTTCCTTTTCCTGCCACTTCCTCCTTCCCATTACTGCATCATCCCTTCACTACCCTACTCCCTACAGCAGAACCTTTTTCACCCTCATTCATCTGGATGTAATCATGTTAACTAAGTATTGAAAGTGGATTACGGACAGAAGTGCTACATGCAAGTTCTGAGTCACTCTTTAAAAGAAAATTGCTTGTCTCTTACTTTCTCTTTGTTATACCCTGTGGGCTAGAATTCAGACAAAGTGTAGTGAGCTAAGGTTGACATGGCAGGAGATAACACTTCAAAGGAATGATGAATGATAACATAGGAAGAATCTGGGCCACTGGGTTATGTCACAGGTCAGACTGACCAATTTGTCCTGGCCTTCTGCATACTTTTCAACTATAACATGTTGGAGAAATAAGCTGCTAGCTTACTTGAACCACTGTTTTTGCTACAGCAATTTACCCTAAACCATACCTAATGCAGATGTCTCTCACTGCCCTTCAGTCAGCCAGGCACTTATGAATTCCTTATTCAAATCCCTATGTTGCTCACTACTTGCTTGGTTGGCCCTATCACCACACTTGAGCTCCACAAAAGTGAGGACAGTGTGTCCACTGCTTACAACCTGCCATATTGTAAGAAATATACGAGTGTTCAACGAATAGCTTTCATGGTCCACACATAGCTCTAGAAATAATTTCATATGTCCTAAATATTGCATCTTGAATGTGGCCAGATGATTTTTCAACTGTTTTTAGCATACTGTATCTAAATTAAATCAAGAATTCCAGTTTGACCTAAAGCAGTAACTTCCATTCAATATTTTGTAACATTTCATATAATACTTTATAGAGACATAATTTCAAACCAATTTAGTAACAGCTAGACCAACCATCAATGTCCCGGGACTCTCCCATCTCTCTTCTCACTAAGGCTTTGCTGACCCTTTTCCAACAGTACTAGTATACTCACAGTTGTGGGTCTCTGGGCCAGCCACTCCATTGGCCTGTAGCACACTTTTTCCAGATGTGGTTTTGACTTTTGTTTATCAGTGAAGACTTCCTTACTATTGTCCATAAAATGAACCTACTCTGCATAAATTTTCAATCTGTCTCTTTTGCTTGATTAGTCTCCAGAGCCTATATAACCATGTTGGGTGACAACAATAGTCAATGAAATAATGACAGTCTGCTTAAAAAGCATTAAAAATTACCATAAAAGGCAGTTATTTATTGGCTCTCCATTTTACTCAGACTTATTTTCTAGTCTTAAGACAAATCCATTTCAAATACAGAAAAAATACAAATGATTACTGCAAAATTTAAATTGTCAGAACTTCAAAAGGGATTGTCACATTTACAACCAAACACTTTTCTGTAAATAATGACTTCTAGGTCATTTTTATAAAAGTTATGAACAGATGATACCTATGAAGTTCCTCTTTAAACAGTAGTGAAGTAAACTGTTTATTGATAGTTTCAGCTTCAGATTTACTAGGTTTGAGGTGCTTGATAGACATCTGAGTAGAGGTTATATTATTATGTACCTAAAAGTCAGAGGAGAGGTTTGAAATGGAGACAGTGTTTGAAACTAATCAATGTGAAGTGTACCCATAGATTTGAGTTATATCTCCTTGAGAAAGTTAGTGAAACAAAGAAGTAGAAAGAAAAGAAGGAATTCCTGACAAATGCCTACACATAGTTAGCACACAATGGAAGAAAACATGTCCATAGAGGAAACAGATATATATGTAAGAAAAACAAAAGGGGAGCTAAAATATGAACCAGAGGAAGAATTTATAAAATGAGAGATTTTATACTGTTTCAAGAGTGCACAGATCATATTAGAAAAGTATGTCTCTTTTACTGCCCCAGTTAGTAACAACTATTTTAGTCCCAATCTGTCAGCCTCCTGTATACTTATTTCCACGTTACATTTAAATGGACTATCTGGAAGATGATGGGCTGCTTAAGAATCTGAACTTCATGGTAGATTCCAACATATAAGTAAGCTGTTGTGTGTGAAATTCATGCATATTGAAGCAATCTTTTTATTATACTGTGTCCTTTGATGTTTTCATTGTCTACAACTCCACTTAGCTCATTCTTCATTTCCAAACTCTTCAGACCATTTTCTACCCACGTGCACATATTAAAAACTACACAGTTGTTACTTTACTTTCAGTTAGAAAAGAAATTTGTTTAATATGTGCCTTACATACTATGTTCCACATACTGACAGCGATCTGCTCCGCAGTGATGGATGCTTTGTGGGAACTCTCTCAGTAGTGACCTAATTACTTCAGCCCTAAGAATAAAGACAATCTAGATGTCCTGCTCAGACCTTGTTTTTTAATTCTATAAATTTTCTTTTTCATACTCATAAGATTAAACTAAAATGCTAAGCAATACAAATTGGTAATGTCACTTGCAAAGCATGCAAGTCCCATCATTATTCAGTCCATGGCTACTTTTCCAGGGCTGTATCTTATCAAGTGCAGACATTTGGATCAGCTCCCCTGGCTGATGCTTTCTCATGCCTTTATACTTTCACATGTTTTGCTTCATCTCCCTGAAATGCTCTTGACCCACTGGCATCTACAACATTGCTAAAAACGTCACATACGTTTTTCATTTTCAAGCATAATCACATTTAATTCTAAGGAAGCCTTGAGATTCAGGTATCAATATTCTCAGTTTATATATTGCAACTGGAACTTTTGAGAGATCACTCAGTTAGGAATTGGTAACATAGGGATATGAACACATGCAGCTGACCTCAAAGTCCATTATCTTAACCTGGATACTGTACTCTTTTTCCTTCTAGTCTTAAAAGTTTACTTCATCTTTGAAAACCCAGCTCCTCACTTGAAAGACTTGTGCATTAGACCTGTTAATAGATATGACTCTGCTATATAATTGTTGATTTTCCAGTGTATCTAAACATTATTCATCTCTTAAGAGTAGAAGTTGTATCACTTGACTCTACATCTCTGTGAAGGAACTGGTCATACTTACAACGCAAATAAAAATGTTAAGGTTTATAAATACAGGGAAATTGTACACAATTACCTAGCTTTAGTGAGACTGAAGCTGGATCTTGAATCCAGGGCCTCTGACTCTTAATCTCATTTACCATCCCTTCTTCTGTATCATAGTTTAAGAAAACAACCTAACAAAGTCATCTTAGAGTAGAGTAGAAAGATCACTGTTGGAAAAAATATTAACGTGGTCAATAAATATAAGCATAATTTACTTGTAGCATTAAAATGATGAAAAGGAATAGTTCAAAGACCAAGTAGAAGATAAGCAAACTTTGCAATTCTATTTTGCAAAAATATACTGTAACATTAAATAAATTTAAGCCATATTGTTAATATATTAATACATAAACCTAAAGGAAAGAAATGCAACAACTGCACATATGAGTAAAAGAAAAAGAACACTTTTTTATGAATCACTAATTTTAAAACAATTTATAAACACTGAACTCAAGCTTCCCAAAATAGGTAAGTTCAGTAAATCATCCGACTGGTGACAGCTTATACTCTTGGCATTCAAATCCTTGATCCAAGTAGGTCAATAGTAGCAGGTAAATTACACATATTATATATGATATATAATATATAGGAAACATTCTGAGTAGTGTTTGCCAAATATGAACCATGAATTTGTGCTTTATTACCCTATTAAAATTAAGAATTCTCTAAAAGATTTTACTCCGTGCATAATGGCACACAAAGCCTGCTTTGTGTCACCACTGCACATGAGTAATTAGAACAGCTGGAACTTGCTATGATTCAAAGTTACACAGGGCAGATTTTCAAATCATCTTTAATGGACTCAATCCAAGCTGTTGCTATTGTTATTATAGTTTCACAATACAAAGGTTTTTTTGTGGTTTATAATGCTGTAACTTTTTCTCAGCTGACTGTATCTCCATTGTATCAATAGCTTTTTGAATAGGTAAGAGAATGTGTCTAAATTGCTTTGATTGGGAAACGGAGAAACATTCATTTAACTATGCTCTTGATGACTCTCATGCAGGTGGATATAATGAGTTTCCAAAAAAAGTATAAATCACAGACTAATTTAAGATAAATATATTCAAACGGAAGCATATTTTATTTATTCTGAATCTGAACACCCTGGACAACTGATGACTTGGATCCTATGGTCTCTGCAAATGTTACTTGTGACAGTTCATATACCTAACCTTGTCTCAAATACTACAATTTAAAAATCTGTGTCTTAGCACTAACTACATTGATACTCAATTTCAAATCTGTAAGTCAAAATTTAAAGTCTTTATATTGAAAATTCTTCAATAAATTCATATTTCCCCATATTTTAATTGGAAATATTTCTCAAATCAGTTGATATTCACTGAGAAGTCTGGGTTAGATGTTCAAAGATTTTTTTTTCCTTGATAAACTTTTTTTTAAAATGTGGGCTATGACATCCAGGTCCAATATCTTTCATATTCTTTACTATTCTTACAAATATCACAGATTTATGCCTAAAGGACATAAGAAAGTACACAAAACAGTCACTCCATTTTATTTCTGTGAAATTGCAGATAAAAGGAGATGAGGATTTGATGGCTGAAAATGTTTATGAACCTCTGAAAAGTTCCAGATTATAGGATTCCCAAACTAAGAATAAAATTTAAAAGTATAAATCTTTACACCTCTTTCTATTCTGCTGCTAATTTTAACCTTCAAGATGATTTTTTAGATGAGTTATCAAAGAGTATGTTTCTAGTCAAACTGAAGAGATATCTATGATGTTCTCATGGATGTGAACTAAAATAAGACTATGAGCTCACAGTATTCAGTTTTAGATGATTTAGAATTCTCTCAGTGTCATTTTTATTCCAGTGAAGTGAACAGTGTCCTATAAGAACACTTTCACGAGTCAAGAAGTTACAGGACACATTGTATGTAAATCTCTGAAGACTTTTTGAGTTTCTACCATTGAATATTAAAATGTAATGCTTAATAAAAATACTAAAAGAGAATCCTAAAATAGATATATCTAATTTTTATTCACCATTATAAATAAATAATGTTAGTAGAAAGAAATGAAAAAGGGAAGGAGGGAAAGAGGGGAGGAGAATATGTTTAAAGGATCCATCTCTCATGTGTTTATGTCCTTTCAGAAGAAGGCATTACCTGAAATGACTCCGCAGTAAGGATTGCCAAGAGCTGACTTCTCTGTGGCTCTTTCTTCCATGGACCTTTTCTGCCTGTATAAGCGGTGTGGGTGACCCGTTATGGCCATTGTATCATTGAGTGGCTCAATAAATATGAAGTCTTCATTGAGCTGTATAAATCCCATCTGGAATATATAACAATAAAAATATATAAGAATTGCCATTTAACAATTATTTTCTAAGTTCTAGATATGCATGCTGTTTTGACCAATGTACATACACTCTTTCAGTGAAGCTATTTTAGCAACCCCACAAGTAAGTTAACTGTCTTTCCATTTTATTACTTCATCTTTACGTTCTTTATTGCACTAGCATAAACTTCATTTAGTTAGTCTTAGCCTGTGTGGGTGGGAGGCTAGATGCCAACAACAGATGCACAGTAAAAATTCTGGAATGTTAAAGGCTTACTTTGGGAGACCCATGGGGTCACTTACATGTACAACATGTACAGAAAGAGTATTTAATTGCAACACCACACAGTCCCAACTTTTGACAGAAGAATTCATGTAACCTATCAAGGTAAATGCAGCACATAGCATTGAAATTAGTATCTAAAATAATCTTAAAGCCTTCAAGTGAACATTTTTAAAACATTCACAGAATGAAAGAAAGAAATGAAGCATCACTTATATAAACAGGTTTCATTTCATAACATTTTTAAGAGTCATACAATTGTGACCATAAAACTATGGTTAAAAACTGTAAAATATGGTTATGATCAATAAAAAGAGCTTACAAGTAGGTGTTCTTGCAATATAGTAAGGTTAAGCCTAGTCATTTATTTCTTTGTTTTTTAGGATATAAATTGTATTGTAACTAAAAAAGTGTTCCATGGGGATACTTTTTAATTTTTAGTTTTAATTAAATATAATTAATATATAAATAGCATACATTTCATTGTTACCTCTTCAGCAATTTTTTGAAGAAACAATCCTCTAAAATTTACATTAGTCAAACCCAATCTGCTAATATCAAAGGTCTTAATTCTGCTTCAAATTTAGCATGTGACATGGGTACATGAAAGCAATAGTAGGAATCTTTCTGTATAGCTATCCTTAACTAGCAAAAACACTTTGTCTTTCTTATTATACATATGTCCTTTCTTCAACAAAATCAGTGACAAGGGCAGAACAGGACCTGCCTGAAATTGAGAAGGAGAGGGGGGGAAGGGAGGGAGCAAGGTGGAGAAATGACCCAAATAATGTATGCACATGTGAATAAATGAACAACAACAACAAATAATTTAGCACGTGAAATTTATGTATGACTCACTTTGCTGTACATATAAGTAGCACTAAAATTACACAATTATTTCTTCAGATATAGTAAATTTTTCAGCCTGAAAAATTAAAAAAATAAACTTACCTTGAAAAAAATGCATGTTTTCCTTAAATATATACAAGAGATTTTTTTATATCACATATTTTATGTGTCTTAAAATATTAATACTTTGGTTTTGTTTTTGCCTAACAGGTAACAGAATACCTGCCACATACAAAATAGTTAGCAAATATTTGTTGAGTATATTAAAGGTCCCCAATTTATCCCTTTCGTCTCTATTTCCCTAGTCACTGCCTTCAAGTTTAAATTTTGTTTTCATTGATAAAGTCTATTACATCTTTCTATACAGAAAGATCAGGTGATTCATTTCATTCTGTACCAAATTGATATTACAAGGCATCTCAAGAGTAAATCTAAAAATCCAAATCTATTTCACCTTATTAAACTTTTCAAATCATTAAAAATTCTCAAGAACTAGAAATTCTCTCTCCTCCTCCCTATCTCCCCACTCCTACTTTTTCTCCCCCTCTCTATTATAAATACACATATGTACATCCACACAAAAAACACATTTCAGGGTAGGAGAAAATGTAAAAAGATTTAGCTTAAGGACCCCTTAAAATATTAGACATAAACACACACATATATGTATATATATGTTATACTTGGGCCAATATTTTTGTGTAATTATCTGAGTGCATATATATATGTTATACTTGGGCCAATATTTTTGTGTAATTATCTGAGTGCCAACGAATTATTTTATTTTCCATTTATGTTTTACTTTTCTCAAATCTGAAATTAGCTTGAATTTTAAAGATATTATATGAAATCTAGAAAATTCTCCCTTGGTCATAGTTTGAAGAATAACAAGAGAATATTAAATGCAAAAGGTATTAAATAATGTTCATTAATGACATAGTACATTTACACATGAACTGAGTGTCTCACTATATATCATAAATCCAGATTGTGAAAATATAGAAAAATACATTATTGTCTTATATATTAGCGCAATTTTGAGACTCACTAAGCACTGAAAGCCAACAATAAAACTGTGCCTGATGACTGAATTAAGACATCAGTGAGACCATCTCAGGCAAATATGCTGAGTTTACTTCAATCATAAATTTATGATCCAATACACTCTTTCAGCAGGCTATAAGCATGATTAGATTTATAACCATAAACCTTATAAAATTTAATTGCAACTATCATATAAAATTTAATAACTTCAAGAGTAGATTCTGGACTTAAGACTATTTGAGTTCATAACTATGTTAGTAAAGCAACTATGAGAAGATTACAGTAACATCTATAGAAAAACTTCTTAGGTTGTATGGAGGATAATTTTTAAAACATATATAATGCTCTTTTCATGGGATTTGATACTAGATAGTTATTTAGTAAATATTCACTGATATTTTTATTTTAACAGCAAGGATCACCATAATAAACATAAGCTCCCAGACATTTGAATATAAACTGAAAACCTCAGAGTCCAAAGATTCAGTTTATTCATTCTGTATACCTATATAGCACATTAAGTATTGTTTGAACTAAATGTTTTTCTGTGTTATATTTTGTTCTATTAAGAATTAAGAACTTTGCATAGTGCAAAATATCTAGTGTGTAACCAGTTTAACTGTATAATTTTTTAAACAAGATCTTTTTTAAAAAGGAAAGAAGTTAGTGAAATTGTAAATGGTGACTCATTCATTCACTATATACCTCCTGTCTGACACTGTGTGCCAGACTCAGGTCACTCTGAGACATGTAGACCAAATGTCACAATGTAGACTTCTTCTGTGACACCAGAGCACTATCCTGTGGCACGAAGTGCTCCAGCTTTGGTCTCTATCATAAAAGATACTGGCTTGGATAAAAGCAGAAGTACAGAAAATCTTAGGCTTTCTGTATCTTCACAAAGGATTCATTTTTTCCATTAAGAAATCAAATTGTTTTATGTGCACTGTGATTTTACAAGCCATGAAAGAACACAAACCCATATTAACCTCTCTTTATAAATGCCCCTGTGTTCAACAATCTACCATAAGGCAGCATTTACTTTAGTGCAAACTAAACTGAAGGGAAGAAAAGATATAAATTAGGATGACACAATGCATTACCTACAGTAAGCGTTTTTCTCCCAGATTGTCCTTTTTAAAATTTTTCAAAGTAATTTAAACTATTTTGAAATATTTTGAGAATATGTAGCAGTGAAGGTTAGCAGTTGTTTTCTTCTTTATTTCTGCCATCATGCATTTTCTCATATGGTGACGTGTTCCCTTGTAATTTTTCTCTGATTTTGTCATTCAGTGAGAATTTCAGTATTTTGCAATTTAACATTAGTGTTTGCTTTCTAACTTTGATATTTTTCTCTATTTGCATGCCTCTGTACTTTTAAAAACATCATTAATATCAATCTCCTTGTAGATGTATTGAAGCTGTCACCAGCTTCTAATCACAGCATGAAATTTGACCTGGCCAATATGCAGTAGTGTTTAAACACTATTGCTTCAATTCATTGAATATAAATGTTTCATTAGTTCAAACAGACATTAATTTGGGGCTATAAAGAGATAAACAGATGTTAAACAGCTGATGTAGGCTTAACTAAAATATTACATGACGCAGAAAGCAGTGTGGCCCTGTTCACTCTTGTCCCCACTCCTGTGGGGATGAAGACTCACTCCCACCACTTCACTTCTTGCTTACTTACAGAACCAAAGGACCACTGCAATTATCTCATGTCTTCTCGTCATTCTTCTATGCTTCTCTGCAGTTTTCTTTACTGTCCTGAACCTTCGTTTTATAGGTAAAGTTTTAGTGGAATGATGGAAGGCACTGAATATATAGCCAAAGGAAATGGAATCAATATGTCAAAGTGGTACCTGCACTCCCATGTTCATTGAAGCAATGTTCAAAATTGTCAAGGGATAGAACAGACTTAAGGGTCCATCATTGGAAGAATGACTGAAGAAAATTTAGTATATAGACGCAATGGAATACTAGCCAGCCTTAAGAAAGAAAGAAATTCTGTCATTTGTGACAATATGGATGAACCTGGAGAAGATTAAGTTCAGTGAAATAAGTCAGACACAAAACACAAATACTATGTGACTTCACCTACATCTGGAATCTTTAAAAAAAGCTGAATTCATGGAAGCAGAGTTTAGAACAGTGGTCTCCAGAGGGCAGGGGAGGGAAGGTTGAGAAGATGTTGGGCACAGGATATAAAATTTCAGTTAGAGAGGAGGAAGTTCAAAGAATCTATTGTACCATATGGTGATTATAATCATTAACAATGCATTGTATACTTGAAAATTATATATAAAGAGAATAAATTTTAAGTGTTCTCATGAAAATGGTAAATATATGAATAACAGTTTTCTTAATTGGCTTGATTTAGCCTTTCCATAATATGTATGAATAGAATGTTGTATATCATAAATAGGTACAATTATTGTCAATTAAATAATTAGTTAATTCATTGAAGAATACAATGTACTACTAAAGAACATGAGGAAGGTGATATGCATAATATTTTTTGAATATGAGAAAGATCTTAACAGGTGGCAAGAATTGAATAAGATTGACATGCTCCTTACGAGATCAGGCATTAGAGCTGTGGCAAAGAGGATATTGAGCTCAAGCAACAATTCAAAAAGCTGCCTGGCTTGAAAACAGAAATGGGAAAAATGTAGACAAAAAAATAAAAATGAACTCATTTAATTGAAAAGTCAAGTAATCTTCTTGATGGGAAAAGGAAAGCCAGTGTCTTGAATGTCTTAAGATATCTAGCCCATTATCCCAAGATTTAGGTGTATCACAAAAATAGCAA